AAACCCTGAGCCCTAAACCCTCAACCACCCTGCGCAGCCCGGTTGATGCCTGCGAGGCCAAGGGAACGGCTGCAGCTGCAACTACCCAGAGTAGGCCGGAAGAAAACTTTGCAATGACAACTGCCTGCAAAGTCTTCACAGCGATGAGCGCAACCACGAAGATGGGGTACAAGTATCCCAGGGTCGCACACCTTAAGGACGAAATGAACCCTAAAAGGATTTAAGGTTCATATACCATATAGGACTTCATAGTATAAGGGTATAGGGCCCCTTCTTTTAAGGGTCATTTCGTCATTAAGGCACTCTTCATCATCCGCGCCCTCGACGCTACCCTGGCCGACAAAGAGACACTGGAAGCCGTCCAGAAGATTCTTGGGTGACTGCGCAAAGGTGAGTCCCTGCAGGGGCACGGATGCCACCCAAACAGGTGGCAAAGCTACGACTTCCCAGATGTTGATCAACGTCCAGAGCTTCCAGAAAGAGACGTGCGATCTTTGCAAATTGTATTCCATGAACCTCTCTTCTTCAATAACCGGGCCTAAACAGATAGACCAAAAAGGTAAGGCCAAAAAGCTTAAAGTTCTCCCGTTGGATATCTAAGCAACACGGTGGACAGAGCCCCTGGAAACGCTTGCGCCAAGAGCAGGCACACAGCACCGATGGACTTTGCGGTCCACTCCTGGCAGGGCAGACTCGTGACTCATTCAGAACACAGCTTAGGGCTTTAGGGTTTAAGGTTTAGGGTTTAGGGTTTAGGGCTTAAGGTTTAGGGTTTAGGGCTCAACTTAGGGTTTAGGGTTTACGGTTTAGGGGTTGGGGGTTGAGGGTTTAGGGCTTAGGGTAACCGTTCAAGGGAAGGTAGGTGCCGAACATAAATGTCAGCTCAATCCAACTATCTGTGTTCCGCTGTTTCTTGTTAAAGCCTTGCAGTGGGCCCTTTTTCGATGCCCTTGCCTTGCCAACAAAGGAAGCCAGGATACCAGCAACAATGAAGGCGCAGCTGAGAAAGTGGGTGCCGAAGTAGCGACGGCCAAGGAAACATACTGAGAAGAGCATGGTCAGTGGTATGACCGTCTGCTGTAGCAGAAGGATGAGAGGGCCTGACACGAGATGTCCACGCGCACCGCTATACCCCAGGAAGTTGTAGGTCGTGAAGAGAAGGCCCGTCACAGCAGAGTGCCAAACCTCGTTGTGCCCTTCCTAACGCCTCTCAAAAGTACTCTTATAATCATAATCGCCTGAACCTACCTATAGTCTCCATTGTAGTTCCTTTTGGGGGGACACCTTATAAAATCCTTAAGATATAATTGGTTAAACCAACAAAAGGAACTACAATGGAGACTACAGGTAATTAGAAAGAAGGTAATTAGAAAGAAAACTCAAAAAAATATCCCGGTGGCCTACCTGGAGACTCTGAAAGTCGGTTTCGATATCTCCTCGCTGCTAGTGTCGCTCTCGCTCAGCTCTGCCTCGGTGTCTGTGGCCGAAGACTCCTGATTTTTGGCGTTTAGGGTTTAGGGTTTAGGGTTTAAGGTTTAGGGTTTAGGGTTTAGGCTAGGGTTTTAGGGCTTGGGTGGCTTCACTCAAGGCTTTAGGCTTTTTGGAGTTTTAGCGGCTTCGGTGGGTGAGTTACATAGCCCTTTACTTGGAGGTTCATGGGTACTTCTAAGTGGAGTTAAAAGTCCCCTGATATAAGTTATTCTTACTATAGTTATCCTACTTATACACCCTACTTACAAGTACCATGAACCTTCAAACGGGGTTTTCCGAAAATAGGGGTCCCTAATATAGCACCCTAAATAGTAGGATCCTTATTATAAGGACCCCAAAAGAGGGTACCCGTAATTTTCGGAAAGTCCCAAATATGTCCTCCTTCTCCTGGCTGCGGAAGCACATGGCTGCCCAAACGATACCAAAAGCGACAGCGATCCAGACGGGCTGCAAGATCGTCAGCACGAAAGGAGACTCCTTCCTGGGTTCTTGTCAAGGAGTTTAGGGTTTAGGGTTCTGGTCAGGGAGTTGAGTTTCACTGATCATAATAAGGATTCATCTACAATAGATCCCAATTATGCAGTAACTGAATGCAACTTACATTGAGTTCCTTAACCAGAACCCAGCTTCATGACGATGGAGACCCTCTTGTGCGACACGCTCAGGCAGGCCTGAGAAATCCAAAGGGCGACCACGAAGACATTGCTCCGATTCAGCAACGCCCTTTTCACATCCTCAAGCGTAAGGCTCGCCATCAAGGACAAGCAAAAGGCCGGTCGGCCAATGCTGATGATACAGTGTACCGCTATTGAGCTGGAGAGACAGAGACAGACAGTGCTGGTGCCCGTGCGTCTGTGTCTGTGTGTGCCCGTGTCTGTGTCAGTGTCTGTCTGCGTACGAGAGTTAGTAAGTGTGATTCTGTGGGAGTGGGCGTGTGCGCACGCATGTTGGCTTGGTGCGCGGGTGCATGGTCTATCTCTGCGCGTGTGCTCTACAGGCAGGGCTGCGTGTTCAATTTGTTCTCTTGCACTTGACAGATGAAGATGAAGGTGAACGTGAAGATTGTGATGCGGATGTTGATGAAGGTGCCGGTGGTGCTGCCGATGAAGCTGCTGCTGCTGCTGCTGATGATGATGATGATGATGATTATAATTATGATTATTATGATGGTGTTGTTGACGATGATGATGCTTATTATTACTACTAACATTACTCGTATTATTTTTATTGTTGCTATTGATATGTTTACTATTATGACGTTGATGACGGTGATGAGGTGGGCAGAAACAGCGTAAGACTGTTGGCACGATCATCACGAACTGACATCGACAGTGAGTGAGGATGAAAGGGAGACGAACACGAGGAGAAGCAGTATGATGAGGCAACGATATCGCCGGTGATGATGGCGAGAACAATGCTGGTGCTGCCATAGTTGCTGCAGTTGTCGTGGTTATTAGTGTTGGCTTGTGCTTCAGATGTCGTTCTCGCTATGACTGCTGTGGTTGTTGTTGCCATCATCGCTGCCGTTGGCGCCACTGTTCCTTTGGTCATCTTTGCTGCTGCACATGGTTTGGTTGCTGATGCGGGCTGGTCGTGGCGGTGATGGAGGTTGGGTTGTCATCGTTGCGGATGAGTTGTTGTCGTTGTTGTCGTCGTCGTCATCGTCGAGATCATCGTCGACGTTACCGTCGCTGTCCTGCTGTCATGTTCCTGATCTGATTGTGCTTCTTGCCGGGGCTGTTTTCTTGCTCTTCATGCTCATGCTAGCAGCAGCGGTGACCTTTTCTTGCCAATGGTCCAGCTGTAAGATCAAGACGGCCATGTGAGGCTTGTTGCCAGTAACACACGTACACCGGGCTGCAACCCAATTCGAAACAAGCCCCACATGCTGTAGACGAAACAGTTCACCTCATCGTGCGGGAACCCAAGACTTGATGCTGCGCCCACCTCAAAACTAAACCCTATAGACACAAATCACTCGTCCCCAATCTCTAAACCCTGAAACCGAAAACCCGTAACCCTAAATCCACAGTAAACCCTGAAACCTTAACCCTGAAACCTTAAACCCTAAACCCTCGGATTTCAAGCCTTATTCCTGTTACCCCCCGACTTTCCCTTTATTCTCCCGGCAATGCACGGGCTTCTGGCCTGGTACAGAGAGCCCAATACCCTTTATTCAGGAATATGGCTTTATAATTTTTGAAACTAGCATATCGGCGCTGGAGTTGTTTGAAAAGCTAAAGACCGACGAACATGCATCCTAATGTCCGCCTTCTAAAGCTAAGCCTATGAGACCTAAAACACCTCTTCACCTTACAACATATGAACGCACGCAAGCCACCTTCAGGGCTCCAGCTACGCACATAGTAGGCTTCTGACCATAGAGTATGTCACCCAAAAACCCACTATTTCGGTATCCGGAGCCCTTGGGAAAGCCGCGGGATCAGGGCACCTAAAGAGGCCTGCATTCGTCAAGAATCTTCTGAGCCTCCAAGCAACAACCCTAAGCCCTAAACCCTAAACCCTAACCTAGAAAGTTCAAACAAGTTCATTATTCTTAAACCCCTCAGCCCTTGTAGGCCTTAAGCCCGAACCTAAGGTATCACTGTATTTTCGATCCCACAGTAGATACCGCTAAGGGCCTGAGTACCAAAATAGTATACACTTTGGCCCCAAAGTAATACGTACTTTTTTGAGAAGTCACTTTAAGGCTAAAGTAGATATTATTTGGCTACATGGATGGACCCCTAAACCCTAAACCCCTAAACCCCTAAACTTTAAACCCTGAATCCCTGAACCCCTAAAACCTAAACCCT